CCACTCGAATAAATTTTATTTTTTTTTAAATTAAGTCATTATTAAAAATCTTAAAAAAAAAATAACCGCATTCAGTTTTTTTTTTTTAAGATGCATAGAACAGTTCCCAAAACAAATGCATTAAATATTTTAATCTATTCCCAAGGTGTTGGCCGGCTCAAGAAATCTTTTCTTTTAAAACAAGCAATTGACGGCTAAGAGTTGTGCTGATGAGCGCCCCAAGGTTTTGTTGGCTGGCTTGTCAGAAACCGGGCAGGAAATGAAGAAACCGGGTGGGCAGGAAATCAAATTTGAGCGGCTCGACAAGCTCGTTTATGCAACGCGAGTCGAGTTCGAGCTCGACTCGAGCTCGGTGTTTGACTCACGAGTCGAGCTCGAACACCTCCTGACTCGAGCTCGACTCGACTCGTTTGCACCCCTAGTAAATGCTAGCCTTTAAGAATTACTTTATATGTAGCTATCTTCACTATAGAACTTGAGGCTTCAAGTTTATGTTAATAATAAGCCTTTCTGGTTTACTTTATCATCTGATTTTCTTCACTTTATCATCAGATTTTCTTCACCAAAGCAGTCAATTTCGATTTCCAAATAAATCAAAGTAAATTCTAGTTTAATTTGAGCTGGAGTTTGGTCAGTTTGATTTTTCAGATGGTGGATCAAAAATTAATTTATTGATTTAATCTATCAATCAAACGATCCAAACAAACCGAATGCACACCACTAGGTAAGTCTCAAACCAGCCAAGCCATGATTTTGGGAATTTAATACAACTTTTTCTAATAAAAGACTACAGACATATTAGATTCCCCCAAAACATTACCTCCAAAAACATGCAACATTTAGTGACATGACCAAGCTATGATGAGTTGCTAGAATTCTACAAACAACATATTGACCCTTGAAGATCAAGATTGTCTCTCTTGTTTTGCATGTATATCTAGGATTTGATCATGCCAAAATTTTGGCAATAGAACTAAGTAGTTAACAAAAACACTTTGAGAGTTCGTTCAGTTATTATGTTTGGTTTCATTCGAAACTTTGTCAGAATAGACAAACACAAGATCCAAAAATCATAATTTTGTACACCTTCGGTTAAAAAAAAAACTTAGTCATCAAATATGCAAAGAGATTCGATTTATGAGTCAACAAAAAGAAAATTCCAAAATTTTTAAGGTCTGAAATTTTTGCTAAATGCATACATGTAAAAACCTTCATTGAAAATGTTCATCAACAGATAAAAAAAATCACCACTTTTTACGGCAACCTTTATCATAAATTGTTGCACTTACTAGATTGTTAGTTAGAACCTCTCACATATGCCAATCTATGCATATGCAAATCATGCCACCTATTGGATTCATTTGGTCAATTTTTTATCAATAATAAGGTATATTTGGTGAGAGTTGTCTCATTGATTGGGTTTGTTTAGATCAAAAGAAGAGAACCATGAAGGAGCTGGGAGTAAAGCCCAAAAGAAAAGAGATGTTTCAAAAGGGGATTTTAAATAAATGAGTTATTGTTTAAAATTGTTCACTTATATGATGAACTTTAAAATTTTGTCCAAGGCTGTTCACTAATGTAAAAAAATAAATATAAATGACGCTTACATAAACAATTATCAAGCTATTTATTAAGTGCACTAATTCATTTATAGCCCTAATTATGTTGTCTAACTCATAGCTTTAAAAAATATCTTATTAAGAGAGAAACAAAGAGGAAAGAGAAAAAAGTTTGGACAGGGTGCATCACCTTTATTCGTAAGAAACCAGCACTCTTCCACTTATCTTGCATCTTTTGAGTCTTCAAAATAAGTTTAAAAATTTTAGTAAGCCACAAAATTCTTTTATCGTCAGGTCCTATTATTTTTGCACATTTCATTATCTTTAAAGCCTCTCTAACTTCTGTTTTATTAATACAATGAAAAAAATAAATATCTTTTTTTTTTTAGTTTGGGTGCTAAGCTCACTAAAGTCAATCATATTCTCACAACCTTCATTGAAAAGTTTATTGAAATACCTCATTCACCTATGTTGAATATCATTATTCTAAGAAAAATAGTTTTTGATCTCCATCTTTAATGCACTCCACTTAAATTAAATATTTACTTCTCCTATCACTTTGCTTAACTAACTTATACATATACATTTTACCCTCATTAGCATCTAATCAATTATATAAATCACTAAAAGTTAAATTATTTATATCACATATTATTTGTTAAATTATTTACATCACATATTAATTTCATAAAATTGTTGTGGGACCCTCTATATCTTTCTCAATTTTTTGAATATTTCCATCTAAATCAATTTTTATAACAGATCTTTTTATTTTTAAACTTTTTTGTACATTTTATTCCACCACAAACAAGTTTTATAATTATAATTTTTTTTTCTTTTGATTCTTCAAGTACAGTACAACTTTCATAATTCCTAGCAACAAAATGGTTGCAATCTCCTTCATCATAAGCATTAAATTTCAAACCCAATATGACTCAATTAGCCCTTTCCGAGTTTATAGATGGATCTCAATAAATTTAACAAATTAAAAAGTTTTTCTATAATTCCCAAATCTCTAGAAAAAGTTTTGGACCTCTAGTAATGATGTATTGTTGCTCGTTGTTGATGCATGGCGTAGTTTGGTGACAACGTGGTGTTGCTCATAGGCATGTTGTTAACCTATCACTCATTGCTCATGCTAAGTGGGATTGTTTATGATGCGTTGTTAACAATTGCTACCATATAAACGCGCAGCAATTGACAAGTCACCTTTAATGTTGTTAAGGCCGCATAGTCGCTCAAGCTGATGTTGCATGGAGATATTAGTGTCAACCATTGGTTTATTGGCCACTGTATATAGTAAGGCAACTATTCATGCATTAAGCCCTTTTAAAACCACATTCTTCATTTTCCTTAATGCCAAAGACTAACTCATGTTTAAGCTTTCCACTATCATCATCATTAACCATGCTAAAAACGACCTTTTGCTTTGACATTATTGTTCATTAACGCTATTATTGAGCCTGCCACAATCGCAAGCCCTTGGTATCTTTAGGTTGATGCTTTTAGGCTTCTCATTGGTATGTCATTATTGCTACATTTAGGTTAGCCAAAATTGCCATTATTTGGTCTGCCAACTAGCTTGCCATTATCACCTGTTCGGAATCCACAAACCATTCCGACCGACGGTCAGAATTTCTGAACTTTTTGTCCGGCGTATGCCTACTTTATGAAGTTGTTTTGGTAGACGTGTTCGAGCCGCCACAAAAGAATCAGGCTAGGGCATTCTACGCGGCCGTAGTCAGGCTATCGGGAGTTGGATTCGGGTTTAGGCTACCGGTGGCTCACTTGCTTCTAAAATGCCCGGCATCTTTGGGCTTGTCATCATGACCCAGTTTGGCATGTTGTATTCCCCTTAGGTTTGGGAGCCACAAACTTTGGTCTTGGGGCTTGCCGCAGCTGCCACCCTTATGTATGTCATAGTTTTCACCTTTGAAATTGCTGCAATCATCGACTTCTCGAAGTAACCATTGTTATGTTACCAATATTCAATAATCTAGTTTCTGGATCAGCATCTACAAATGTACGTTGTCACATCCATTAACTCATTATCACTGCCAACCAATTCCCAACGATTTATTTAATGCTGGAGATTTAATCACCTTCAAGGCAAGTTACCAGAGAGCAAAATGCAACAGAACATGCATGGGGGTTTGTTCACTTCAAAGCGTGAAATTAATTGAAGCAAGTAAACACAGGAAAATTACATAGTATTAAGATATATTTAAGTCAAATATTAACAAAGAAAAGTATTTTCATCTAGTAATCTATTTAAAAATTAATTAAAATTGAGATATCTTATATGTAACTTTAAGAAGAATCAATGCTAATAATTGAACAAGAATTCTTAAAAGCTAAAGAGAACTAGAAGATATAAATCGGAATGAAAAAAGAATATCAAGGGCTTGAAATCAAGGATTTTGCACGTGCTTTGTGTCTCTTGCATCATGGAGCTCATCTTCATCAGACCTTTTTGCATCTCCAGGCTCATATTGCGTTCTGGTTGCCAAACGTCTTTGTCTCCTAGCTCTAGCTATTATGTTGCAATTGATCTGAGTGTGTGGCATAGCATCTTCAACTATGATGAGGTAGAGGAGACCCAAGAATATGTGAGAATGCAGAGTTTGTTGTTGATGGAATAAATAAGATGACGCTTGTGAATTCAAGCAGGACTGACACCATACAACCTATACCAGCTTCATCCTAACTTTAATTAAACTGGCAAAATAAACCGTTCACAACTTGTGCTCACAAATCATAAAAATGAAATGTGCTCCCGGTCCAAGAGCTAAACCGGTTTGGGGCTAATATATGGACCGGTTTGCATCTAAGGGGGTTAACCTGAATATAAACAAGCTAATTACATAGAACGAAACAAACTAAATATTACTATAGGTTAATTCCTACAGCAGGAATATTCGGCTAGGCTAAAAACTGCAGCTGGGACCTGCAGCGACATCCTTGTGTGGACCGTGTCTTGCATTAAGAGCTTTCCTTCTTCGTGACATACTTTTGGATGTGTGTGTTGCTATCTTTGGAAGGTTCTTCAATAGTTCTCACCCAATCTTCCCCTTTATTTTGTATTGTAGTGGGATCATTCGATAAATTGTTGCCTAACATAATTTCCCTCTAGTAGAACAATGAGGAATAAACCCTTGTACTCTATTTACATTGTCCTCTGCACTGAGTGATTTTCTGATGGCTCAAGTAATGTTCTAACGCTCATCCTCCAGGCAAATTTATTAATTAGCTGATAACTTACAAGCCTAAAGATAAATAGCACACAATGATAGCATAAAACAACTAAAAAAATTTAATGCCTTCGAACATTTCTAATCAGATAACTTGCAGTAATCCAATCTAGAAAAGAGATGTATACTGCACAATTATAGAATGATTTTAAAACAGTATGCAAGTAAATGTAACATAAAAACGCCTTACTTAGCAATAACTTTGAGTTTTTGCTTTACGGGAGCTTCTGAACAAAGAAATGCCTCGAGAACACGGCCACCTCTAACATCTTTTGCAGTTTCCAATACGTGATCAGCTTCCATACAGCTTAAACTCTCAAAATAAAGCCTTACTGCGGACTATATGACAAGCATAAATAAAATTTTAGATTCAGCTAAAAATCATTGAACTGCAACAATAAAATCACTAGCTAAATTTGATTGATTTTCGGTGATTTCTACAGCATCACAAACTCTCAAACCAATGTAACTTGTACTTCAGGTTACTCCAGATTGATTTTTACCACAATCTACAGATAGGGTTTGGATCTATGGGAAAATCAGGACACCATTTTTGCTTTAAGAATTAAACAATGTGAGCACATTTGAGCTCCACTTAGAAATGATAAAAGAAAAAGAAATGAAAATAAATGCAATAAAACATTTTCTCTTAATCATATATGTAAACTAATTCTGTTTCATAACGGAAAGATCTACTACGTAATAAATTTTGTATGTTAAGACAACAGAGAAGTAAAGAGTACAAGAAAAGATCTTCATATGATTTTAATTGAGTTTAAGAATTTATATGATCGATAACCAATGAAATTAATTTAGTGGGCTTTAAGCAAGTCAAAGATATATAAGGTAGAATACTGACTCGTATTAGAAATAGATATTGAGTGAACCAAAAGTTTTCAATCATCATAGGTTTACATCAATGATAACCACTAAGTTCACATCTTTTTATGCTAGTAATGGAGATGCTTGCTAATAATATTAGAAGCGAGGTATCTTGCTGTATGTTTTTTGTATATGATATAATTCTAACTAATGAGTAAGACATCCACTGAAACAAGTAAAAATTGAAGCGATGGAAGAAATGCTTAGAATACAAAGGCCTTAATATTAGTATCTTTTTGCTTTAGTCATGGATGTTCTCACTAGACATTTGCAAGAGGGTGTACCTTGGTGTATGCTTTTTGCTGATGATATTCTTCTTGTTGATAAGACTAGAGAGGGAGTTGAAGGTAAACTTGAATTATGGAGGTCAACCTTAGAGTCTAAAGGTTTTCACTTGAGTAGATCTAAAATGGAATATATGGAGTGTAATTTTAGTATTAATAGACCTAGTGAGGGGATTGTGACTTTGGGCGATCAAGTCATTAATAAGAGTACACGTTTTAGATAGCTTGGATCTATTATTCAGAGTGATGGTGAAATAGATGGGGATATTATCAGCAGAATTCAAGTTGGATGGTTGAAGTGGAGGAATGCATCGGGCTTGTTATGTGATAGAAATGTACCCCTCAAACTTAAGGGAAAAATCTATAAGATGGTAGTGAGGCCTGCAATGCTTTATGGTGTCGAATGTTGGCCTTTAAAAGAGAAGCATAATACTAAGTTAAGTGTGGCAGAGATGAGGATGCTCAGGTGGATGAGTGGCTTTACCCTTAGAGATAGGATACGAAATGAGCATATACGTGAAAAGGTTGGAGTAGCTCCAGTAGAAGATAAGATTAGAGAAAGTCGCCTTAGATGGTTTGGTCACATAAAACGGCGGCCTTGCGATGACCCGGTTAGGAGAGTAGAGGTATTAGATTTGACTTATGTTAAGAAAGGTAGGGGTAGACCTAAAAAGACTTGGTTAGAAAATATTAGGAATGACCTTTCTTTATTAGATTTAAACGAGAATTTGACTTTTAATAGGACACAATGGAGAAAAAGGATTCATGTAGCCGACCCCACGTAGTGGGATAAAGGCTTGATGTTGTTGTTGTTTTTTTCAACATTTTCTTCTTTAATGTAAGAGGAATTTAATCTCAGGACCTTGGGAATAACTTCAAATATCTTTATCAACTAAGCTAACTAGCAATGACATTTTAATATGATGTTAACTATTATTATTTAATATTAATAAAAGATAAGGATTCATGTCATGAGTGTAATTTTAGTAGTTATAGATCTAGTGAGGGAACTGTGCCTTTGGGCAATCAAGCCATTAATAAGAGTACAAGTTTTAAATATCTTGGGTCTATTATTCAAAGTGATGGTGAAATAGATGAGTATTTAATTAGTAGAATTCAAGTTGGATGGTTGAAGTGGAGGAATGCAACGGGCATGTTGTGTGATAGAAAAGTACCTCTCAAACTAAGAGAAAATTCTATAAGATGGTGGTGAGACCTGCAATGCTTTAGCACAGAATGTTAGTCATGAAAAGAGAAGCATAAAATTAAGATGAGGATGCTTAGGTAGATAAGTGGCTTCACTCTTCGAGATAGAATGTGAAGCGAATATATACGTGAAAAGGTTGGAGTCACTCCAGTAGCATATAAGATTAGAGAGAGTCATCTTAGATGGTTTGATCACATAAAATATTGGCCTTTTAATGACCCGATTAAGAGAGTAGATGTATTAGATTTGGCCTATGTTAAGAAAGATAAAGGTGGGCCTAAAAAAACTTTGTTAGAAAATATTAGATATGAATTTTTTGTAGATTTAAATGAGAATTCGACTCTTAGCAAGACATAATGGAGAAAAAGAATTCATGTAACAGACCTCACGTAGTGCGATAAAGGCTTGACGTTGTTGTTGTTGTTGTATTAATAAAAGATATCATGATGCATTGGTGTAACATGTATAAATATCTTGGATCGCTTACACAAAAGAATGGAGATATAGATAAGAACATAATCTTTAGAGTTAATGTTTGATGATTAAAATGGAAAAGTTTATCATAAGTTTTGTGTGATAAGGGAATAACATGGAAGCTCAAAGATATATTTTATAAAACCATAACTAATTTGTGATCTGGAAAAATCCAAAATATTGGGTTGTTAAAAAGTCTTTAATATTTAAATTATGTGTGACATAAATGAGAATGATAAGATGGATGTGAGGATAACCTATGAAGGATAAATTAAATAATGATTATATTATATGAAAGGTTAAAGTGATATCTCTTGAATATAAGATCGCTTTGAGAATAAAAATTATTGGTGGCCCTTAACATATTTCTAAGCTTTTGGTTTGACGGCCTTCCATTCACTGGTATATGTTGCACAATTAAGCCTTCGGTGTTGCACCTGACCCTAATAAGTGGTATTAGAGTTGATGGTATTAGAGTTAATAGAAGTCATAGCTACTTCTATTATCATCAAGCAAGGTATGTTATCATCGAGCAAGGTTCAAGAGTTGGTGACTATCACACAAGTTCCGCTTGGTTGCATAGATGCCCGATGCATGATACTTGACAATGTTAAAAAGCTTAGATTTGAAGGGTAGTAACGGTCCAGGTAAGAAATTCATGTGAGGCGATTTTGTTAAAATCCACGTAAAAGTGGAGACTAATCCCACAGCGGAGATGAAGTGGAAATTTGTGTTCCTAATGTACTAATAATGGCCCTATGTCAATCAATGTCCTAATTACTTCAAATTAACCTTGGGAGTTGTTCAAATATTGCATCAAATAAACCATACTCTATTCATTCAACCTATTTCCTCTTAATCAGAGTTCTAGAATCTCAAAACAAGTAACAGAAAATATGCTTAGACTGTTGAACAAAATTGGAAAAACAATTTGCCATAAGCAGTAGCAAGCACACTTACATTTGAAATTTTAAATAAGCTTTGCAGCATTAAACAGCCCAATACATGCATCTTATCTCCCAAGGGCCACTTCCAGTGAGACTTATATCTGAAGTAGCTGTCAAGGTGTAGTAAATGTGGGACAATACAGGTGGGTGACTCAGCTTCTGGACAAACTGCCACTGAAAGTTCCTGGCAAAACTGCAAGAGAATAATAAGTTAACAAAGTTAAGCACAACAAAGACGATTGTACCTAATGACAAAAAGTTTCCAGCGTGGATAAACATATTCACAAGATTTAAACACCGCAAGCAGAAGTAATGCACAATAACAATAACACTCATGAACAAAAACCACTATGAATAATACTATGTTGTAGTTTGTTTTACTGAAAAAAAAATGCAAAATAAAAGGAAATATAGTGCAAAAGAAATGCAAAGTATTTGAAATGTTTATAGTAATTTTGATGAGTATAAAATAAATGCATTTGATTACCTTTTTTATGTTTGATTTGAAGTAAAGTGAAAGCAACGTAAAGCTCAATGAAAGCGATGGTTGGTAATGGCTAGAGAGCGATGGTGCCGGCTAGAAATTGGCAATCAGTGGAAGGGGCGGCGGACGAGGCAGCAACTAGCGATGGCAACAGCAACGATGGTGGGCAGCAAGTGACGGAAGTACGCGACAGCGGCAATGGCCAGCAAGCAATCATAGCAAGCAAAGTTTTATTCTTATGGTGTATTTGGAATTTGCCCAAAATCAGGAGAATTCCAAATACATTGACGATGAACTAAATGTGCATTTCAAATATTTCAAAATTTACCCATGTATTTGAAATACTTTACACCCATTTTACTTCAAACCAAACAAGCTCTAAAACAATCTCTAAAGAGGTATTTCCCCGCATATCATTTCAAAAGACCATTGTCATCAAATACTAAATAAATAAAAAATAATTAATTGCAATCAAATGTGAAACCAACATGGAAGAATACAACCAAATGTCAATTCCCTATGGAATAGGAGTAAAAGTTCCTCCACTCGTCCAAGAAAATCCTTTGTAAATTGTAATAGAAGGGAGAATATGTTGGTTAAGGACAAATTGTGGAAATCCTCAAAACAACATATCAAATTATGCATTCAATTATACCAATTAAGCATCCAACAGCTCTTGTTTGCCCACCAATCTGTCCCAATGCCACCATGACAATTCAAAGTTCTTGCGCATCCTGTGTTGGATGTAAATGGCTAAATGCCCAACAATATGATCAGCCATTTTGGCAATCCACCGCTGGTCTTATTTCCAAATGCAGTCTACCAACAAATATGTCCATGAATAAAAAATTTAAAATTGTTAAATTGATTATAATAAATTAGATTAATTATTTTTTTAATTTTTCCATTTTATGGGTTATCACTCCCATTAATATTGTATATATTTTATCCATTGGAACAAAAATATATTTAGAGTATTGTTCTTTCATATTTTTCATTAAGGTATCAAAGTCACACTTTTCTATTTAATATCCTTCTAAATCTTTCATATCCTTTCAAAATTCTAAATCTTCATCATCATTTTAAGGATTTTTTTGTTTAAACTACTGATGATGCTTAATAATATGGTCTGGAAAAAGAGGTCCTCTTCTAGTATCGTATCTTGCCATAAATCAAGATCTCATGTCAACATTGATATCCAAGAAACCTCTAAGTCGCCAATTCAAATCAAAGCCTTATGCACCAGAAATCATCATCAGTGCAATTGCTCAAAAAGGTACAATTTTAAAATAATAAGTAATAAGCATCATAAATTCAGAATCTTGGATCATGGATTCTAAGAACTTCTGATCATCTGATTAGATGATGCCTCATTTTAAACCTTCATCAGTATTTAAAGGCTATACAATCATAATTATCAATAGATTAATATTACATTGGTACTGTCAATGTCACTAGCTCTCTAGTTCTTGACTCAGTTCTCATGGATCCTAACTTTCATGCTACTTATTATAAAACAATAAAGTTATCAAGGGTATGAATTGTACAATTAATTTTCTCAACAAATTATGGTTTTCTAATGTAGGACTAGCATGTGAAGACTTGCATTATGAAATTATACAAAAGTTCAATTTAAAATCAGCAAACTATTAATCACGGGAATGCATAAAACAAGCTTCAAAACAAGTAAGAAAGGCAATCTACAAATAGCAATTAACCACAACCAAAGTTCTAGAATTCAAGAAGGATAAATCAAGTCTATAACTTAGCTAACATGGGTTGGCAAAAATAGATCCAACATTTAACATAGATTAGTCACTACAAGAACCATGTACTCAATGATTTAAGAAGCTAGCAGAATTAACATGAAAATAGTGATGCCACAGAGAATTGGACTTCAAAGATATTTATTTAAATGTATGAAGTAAGAGTAGAAAAACCTAGGTATTTGCGTCGCAGGGAAGCTTCCTTCAGATGTGGTGTGGTCTCGGCCAGTTGATTTTCAAAGGGTTGCTCCATAGTGCCTTTCTTGTGTCTAGCTTTATAGTGGAGAAGAAGAAATGCTGGTTGAACTTTGTAAGGAGGGAGGCCACGATTTTTACTATTTGTGGGAGATTATGAATGGTGTGCGGTTAATTAGAGTGGTGGGGCTTAGGGGGATGGGAGAGAGTGGGATTGGAAAATGAAAAAATAGTTTTGCAATTAACGGGTCAACTTCCCACAAATTAACATGAAGAGTTCCAAGAGTGGGCAAACCATGGGGAAATGGAAGGGGTTGTGTGGTTTTTCCAATTCCCAACCAATTTTGAAAACGAAAAGAAGGAGAGGTAATTAATTGGTCAACTTCCCATTAATTAACATAAAGAGTTCCAAGAGTGGGCCAACTAGGGGAGAGGGAAGGGGTTATGGCTTTTCCAATTCCCAACTAATTTTGAAAATGAAAATGAGAGGAGTAACTTTTGAATTCATAATTCCAAAAGACAAGTAGGATCTAATTGGAATCCCAAAGGTCAAAATTTCATATTTGGGAAATTTTGGATTGGGATCTTAGATGGGGAGGTGGTGGTGGTGGGCTTGTCGTGGGCAGTGGAAGGGGAAGGGGTGGCTAGCCGAGAAAGAGAGGGGAAGAGGGGTTGACCAGCGGATAGGGAGAAAGGAGGAGGGTTAGGGGAAGAAATACAAGGGGAAAACCAAAAGCTCACCTTCAAGGGTTGTTGGTACTTCATTTGCCTTCTCCTAAGGCTTCACCACTCCACCACACTCACTCTCACACAAGAGAAGATGGTTGAAATTAGAATTCATTCAAAAATAAGCATCATCCCCTTAAAGAGGGGAAGAGAGTCATATATATAGTCTCCACCGCATGACAAGACAAAAGACACAAATGCCCTTGCGCTTCCGACATAACATAAAGGAAAAGTTCACAAATGCCCTTGGGCTTACAACATAATATTAGGAAAAGTTCACAAACTAAATTAAATCACATACAACACACAACAATTAATAATATAAACACTCAATCGTGATCGTCAATGTACAGCCACTTCTATGATAAACTTTCCATGCATTGTGTACCCATCATTTTCAGGACTGAGAACTCAACGAGGATAATTGTAAGGCTAAAAAAATGTTATTCTCTACTTCATAAATTGTAAAAGGAATCTTGTAAGGCAAATAAAAAATGCTTGTTATATAGCTTCCTCCAATGAAAAAATATGGTGTAACACTTTCGTCTTGGTTATCCACATTCTGTATTCTTAAAAAACTAATCCCTCCCTTTTCATCAACACAATTTTGAAGGCCTATATACACTCAAACATTATACCATAATCATTCCTATAAAGCCTCACAACCAATGCAACTATCCATAGTGACATACAAGGCCCATCTCAGGTGAACAATAATCCAAGGTGCTAGGTGGTTTATAACATTTGTTTATAACAACAAGGATATTTCTAATGAAGGATAAGACTAAAAACAGCTTTTTTTTCAAAAAGTTAGACTCTGTTAAAAAGACAAATTTCCAAATCAAAATTCAATTCCTTCAGTGAGAAAGAATTTCCTCATTCCAATATTGTAGAATATCACCTTAAAAATTTGTTCATCAAACTTTTTACATATGATATGTCATAAAAATTATCTATATCGGGCACGAATCTTAATACATATTTGAATTGGAAACTTCCAACATTAAATTCAAGATCATGAACTCTGATTTCAACAAATTTATAATCGAACTAAACAACTCGACGAGCCAAACCCAATAATACCAAAAGAGATCCAATCCAAGATCAAAGAAGCCTGGATCAAACATTTTAAGCGCAATTGGAGATTTTAGGGCATTAATTGGATGGCCAAGCAATTTCCAAATCTTGCATGTAAATAGTTAAATCAAGCGTCTCCACTATACGAATCCAGCAAACCCAAGATTTTGTTACTTTTGCATCTAGTGTTACTACGATATTTGTTCTTATTTTAAAATTGTTCTGTTAATCTTTCTTGTAACCGCATACCAAAGCACAACTGCAACTAAAGAATCCTAGATTCTTATCTTGGTGAAACATTAAGTTTAAATTTAGAAAAGCTTAACAATTTGTTATTAACTTCTAAGCAATTCATGTTTCCATATATGTTTCACATCATATTTATTTTCATATAAGTGTTGTTAATCAAAACTCCACAAATTAGCATCTTCGTATTGTATATAAGATACCATAATATCTTTAAAAGATACCTGAAAAAGGGCTATTCTTCAAAAAGATCATTGACGGATTGTAAATTCACATCCAGTTATTATTTATTTTGTCAAAAATTTTAATTATATGGAAAAGCAACAAACAATCAATTGTTATTTGGAGCAATGTCAAAGCTGAACTCAGAGCTATAACATATGAAATTTATGGAGGTATGGCTTATATGCTTCCTTGAAGATTTAAAATTTCAAACTAAAAGCCCAATGATAATGAGTTGTGACAATCAAACAATATTAGCATTGCTAAAAATCCTGCCACCACAATAGAACTAAGCAAGTCAAGATTGATAATATACGTAATGAAAAAAATATCCAAATTAATTATACTCCAACAAAACAACAAAACTATTAACGTTCTTACTAAATCTCTTAATCAATTGCAACTTGACAGTATTATTTCCCAACTTCGAATGATTAACATATATTCCCAATTTGATGGGGAGTGTGGAAAACCAAAAAAACAACATTTCAAATTCTACATTCAATTCCACCAATAAAGCCTTCATTAAGGGGGAGTTGTCTGGGATTTTATGTTCATGCTATTGATGAATTTTGTGGGTGTTTGTTGTAGTTCTTTTCTTTAACGACTTCCTAGCGGCGTCTAGGTTGATTAGGAGAGCCGATCTACCTCTTGAATTATAGATCACAAATATCTTGTTTTCTCTTATTGAAGTACCGTCATTGCTTCTTCTCCGAGAAAAGAAGTTTTAATAAAAGAATCAGCCACCGTTTTGATTTTAATGCGGTTTTTATATTATTGTTTGTTGGTTTTGCTTCCACGATGTAACAAATTGATATCAGAGCGGTATCCTGGATTGAATTATCAATCTTTCCTCCCTGATTTCTGCAGAGTTTTTCCTCTCTGTTAGTTGAATTTTGTTGTTTAGAGGCTAGACTCGTGTCAAAGTTGTCGATTTTTGTTGTTAAAGCCTTGATAAGAGTACTGATGGCCGAAAGTAGAGTTGAGGCATTTGAAAAAAATTTGGAATGGGAAGTAGGGTAACTACGAGTGGACGTGGGATAGATGAATGAACGTATTTCAGTGATAGAAAGAAGGTTTGAGAATTTGGAATATATGATGAAGAAAATGATCGAGAAGCAATTGAAAGCTTCACCGTTGATTCCTAGGGCTAAACCAAAGAGAAAGAAAATTCATGAGGAGAACTCATGGATATGCGATCCAATAATTGACTTAAATATGCTTCATCAACTACTTATATTAATATGTCTTAAGAGTAATGCATTAACATTTTTGTTATTACTATTATAAGACAAAAGTTTACTTATGAAATTTGATCTGTAAGTCACATATTTAAATAATTGAGATAAAAATTAAATTCAAATCCCAACGGTTCCAATCGCTAGCCCTAATCAAGATTTGATTGAGACTCCATTGGCCAAGCCATGGAGATCGGGTCATGTTAGGCAGTTGGAAGAAAAGTGAGAGTTTCACCCTCGATACACAAGCGAAACATTGAGGGATCATAATAACCGCTACCCTGGAGGAAGAAATTGTTGGGGCGATGGTGATCCTAAGTTTGAGAAAGTTGAAGATGCAAATAATTGAGAAAAATAGTGATAGCTCAATAAGTGATACACAAGCTTCTTTCAAAGATAAAATGATCAACAAAAAGAAAAATGTGAATAAAGAGGGAAAATAAATAAACTTTGCAAAGCCAAGCTGGTGGTGCTGCTCAAAAAATATATCGCATCAAATCACCTAGAGCAGCAAAGATTGGTGAAGGTGAGCCAGAAAATCAAAATCATGCAGTTGTCTTAACCATGGGAGAAGGCTCTTCAAGCAATTTATATGAACTAGGATAACTATTTAGAAGAGGCTTTGAAAATGAGGAATCTTTTAGAGGAATTCAATGAAGACCATAGACTGTGCCCACCAACCATTCTTGGTATACGTGAGCACATTTTTCCAGGAAATATTTCATCTTCGAGATGATTCATGTCAAACCAAGAAACAAGTTTTGAGACAATTGGACAAAAGGTTCTGACTATCCACTAAAGGTTTGCTTCCAATACGGGCATCTAGATATATCTGACCTGAATCTTCACATCAGTAGAGGTGTCATAAGCATGGCTTCTTGTGGAATCAACCTAAGTGAGGATATATTTGCATGATTCAATTCTACATTAAGGCAAAGAAATATCACCCACCATGAGTATATTCAGGTTGGGAAGGGTCGTGATGTTGGACTCAACCAAATCTCTCTGTTTGAAGCAAGGGTTGCCTATAGCAATGGAACAAATACTTAGCAGATATATCTATCACTTGAGCCACCGATTTGACTTCTTTTGCATGCTTTGTTACTACTTTATGATTGTAGGGTTCTATGTCAACTCGCTGATGAGAGAAAATAAACCTCTGAAGGCTGTTATAGCATCACATTCTACCGCCCAGCTTTGTATATTGATGGTCTTACCCATTTACCCATTGTTATGCATATTGGGATGAAAAGGGGATTCAGAATTGCATTGTGCTACATAATCATCATACAACTTCAATTGTCTCAGTGTTCTTTAAATTCTTGCTTGGAACAAAATCTCATTACTTTGAACAGACAATCCTACATGTCAGAGCAAAATATAGTGCTACTGGACCACGATTCATTGGGCGACATGTAAAATTTGCAAAGAACTACAAGATGTACTCTAATAGTCATTTTACAAAGGGTCTGGAACTTATGTTGCTGCTAATTATTTATCAGATCTATGGATCTGCAACTACTGATTCAATAACCTTTATGCTTCTCACTGCATAAATGTGATTCCTTGTTCTCATCTGGGCTTTTGTGTCATTTCGTTTTAACCTTTATGGCTTTGAGTGAAAAAAAAAATAGTTGATGACTGTGATGACTAGAGCAAGTGGACAAAAAAGTAAAGGCATTGACAAAGATGTTAAATTGTTGAAAGATGGTATATTCTCTAGAGTAAAGCACGAGCAGATAATGAAGAATATATAATTGGATCATGTGCTAAGTGGTTCTCGACAAGAAGCAGATTTTGTTGTTAAAACAGATGATTAGGAGACAATTCCGTTTCGTAAACCTTGAGGATAAGACGCATTTTTTGGGAGGGAGTATTGATACGCATTGGGGGGGGGGATTAGGAACTGTTTAGGAATGTTCCTAATTAAGAGTGAGTTGTTTAAAAAAGTTCCTAATTAAGGAAAATTATTTAACAATGTTCATAATCAAGGGAGAGTTGTTTAGAAAAGTTTCCTAATCGTGTTTATGCTATTTAGGAAGTGTTTAATTGTTTAGGAATGTTTTTTTAAAATATATTTAATTCTTTAGGAAAGTTTCCTAAATCATGGTTAATTGTTTAGGAAGGTCTCCTAAATCATGTTTAATTATTTAGGAAAGTTTCCTAAATTATGTTTATGATTATAAGGAAGGTTCTATTTATTTAAACAGGTTTCTTAAAAATATGCTTATACTGATTAGGAAGGTTATAATTGTGTTATTGTGTTCTAGGACTATTTAATGGGGAGTTGTCTAGGGTTTTTAGTTTATGTTATTAATTAATTTTGTGGGTGTTTGTTATAGTTCTTTTCTTTAAGGGCTTCCTAGCGGCGTCCAGGTTGATTGAGAGAGTCGGTCTACCTCTCGAATTATAGATCACATGTATCTTGTTTTCTCTTATTGAAGTTTTAATAAAAAAAATCAGCCACCGTTTTGAATTTACTGTAGTTTTATATTATTGTTTGTCTTTTTTGCTTCCACGACGTAACAAAAACACATGATTCTAAAATTATGGAGGAACTTCTACTCATAGGTTCTAAGACAACCATGAACTCTAGTTTGAGGTCCTTCGGTAAGGAAAACTCCCCCTAAGTTTTATCATTCAAACCATGCAGTGATAACAATTTCATCCTGAGAATCCATGAACAAAACAACTTAAATACCATCTTTCAGCTGCTTGAACTGTACAAACTAATCATGCAACTATAAATAATAGCGCAAAAAACCTCATTAACATGGGTTTGTAGACGTTGGCAAGTAGCTAGAATGGAAGCAACAACACCGGGTTTCCCTGCCTCAAGCAGTTGGCATAAATATGGCCCTAGTTCCTCCCATATTAGGTTGGCCTGCATATAAAGTTAACAGTGCATCAGTTTCCGCCATATAAAAAATATGCAGACACGCAGCTAAAGAGGATAGATATATATATTTATGAGAAAATGATAAAAATGATCCCATTGACTCATCATGAAGGATCAAAATAGTTCCCAACTATATTAAAGGACCATTTTGGTCCCTTGATTTCTTAAAAAGAATCAAAATAGTTTCATGATAAAGATTTAAAGTACCAAAATGGTCATTTAATATAGTTGATAATCATTTTGGTCCTTCAGAAAGAGTCAAGAGACCATTTCGTCATTTTCTCATATCTTCTTGATACAAGATTGTTTGTTTATAAAACAAAATTTGTAATTTCAAGGTACAAAAAACTCAAGGTAGAGAGAGAATTTAATATGAATAATCAGAAAATTAATAATAAAACCAGATGTACGCGATGTCATGAAATAAGCCCATTCAGACACAATCTGCATAAGGCACAATATTAGTGAACATTTCAAGGAGATATTTATCCAAGCTAACAAGTAAAATGCATGAAAGTCTGCAATAATGCAATCAGATGCAGATTAAGCTACATCACCATCAATGCACATGATGCCAACATCATTTTTCACAAAGATTGTCATGCAGAATTACACTGTTCAAATATTACAAATGCCAAATAAAAAGATTTACAAGGATCAAAGAAAGAAAATTAGACAGCAGACATGACATTAAAAGCATGAAACTGTAATCTATTTAGTTCTCTATATTTCACGAGTCAAGAGGCATGGAGTAGTTTCAACAACTTATTCATGAGGATATAGATTATTGACAGCTAAGAGAAAGTTCACATAAATCAACAATACAAAGACAGAATAACTCAGTTGTACAATTTTCAATTAATCCCTTGACAAATTTAAATTGAATTGCACAGTACAAACAGAGTCAAGATGCTGACAAAATAGGCACCATGGTGCACAAGTTTGGACTGAACTATAGCATTAGATATCAAAAGGAAATAAATCACAATAACACTAAAATGTTTTACAAATGTCATTAAAGCAACATGATGCAAAGACCTTTTTAAGTGCACCAAAATACTAAATGATATACATATACCAAAATTTATGGTGATTACAATAACAAATGAAACCTTAATGTCAAAATGAATACATATGAAACTTGCACTTGTCCCATCAAATAATCTGACAATGCACTAAAAACAAACAAGTGAAAACATTACTGCCATGACATACTTGTTCTTTGGTTCTTGCCGAAGAAATCACAGCTTGCGCGACGAAGTTTCCAAATTGGTGAGATGATATTTCCAGCAGAGACCCTTTGAAAATCACATCAAGCAACTCATTGTACAAAGCCTCTGGTGCCACCTCCACAATAACCTGCAAAATATCCACATGATATAAGACATGAGAATCGAAAAACTCCATTGGAAGATGTCCTCCCATGCCAAATTATAATTTAAAAAAAATGAATGGAAAATTATTTTGAAACGTAATTGATCAATATGTATTAACAACATGAAGGTATCACCATATAATACAGTAAGCAACCAGTGGTGATAATTTTAAATAACATATTTTTGTCAAGGGCATGGTAGTGACTCCTGCACACAAGTTGCAGTTGCTTGGTTAAGAAATATAAATGTGCATTCAGCCAAGTTGAAAAGAAAACCAATAGCTAGCAGAAGAAAGTTGATGTCCTTAAAAAAATCAAACTCGATAATTAATAAAACATGCAAATAAGCGAGATAGCTGCTTACAATATCTAGACTTCCAGCCGACATGGTTCAAATTATAGAATAAGGAAACAAAGACGAAGGAAGAAAGAGAAAAATAATTAAATGAGATCAAGACAGACCAATCAAAAATTCCAGCCCTATATGCAATCCATAAATCATCAAATTAAGCCAACTATCATGATTTTCAAACTAAACATTTATATATAGCCCATATTGTTCCCCAAATCGATGCAAGTAACTGCACTCAGTCACTTTCAAATCCTGGAAATGGGAAATGGGCATTAAATTAACGCCATTTAGAATTAGACATAAGATAGAACAAAGCTCACCATTCATATCCCAAAAACCAAGATTGATAAAAGAATTTTGCTCTTTCATACAATCAAATGGGCACGTAGTGCGTACATCTCTTTTATGCAACATAATTTATAGTACTTCAGCTTCAGTACATAAAACTCATGCAACATAGATATAACAATTGCAAGCATGGTGTCTAATAATAAATTTAGCCTTTTTACAGTGATAATGAAATAATGATCAGCTTGTTACCTATCACACATCAGACATAGTTTGATTTTCTAAATGTACACAAGCATGTGACAAAGAAAAAGATAATCCACAAAAAAATTAAAGAGCAAAACAGCAATTTAATAATTATAATGCACTAACTAACATTTATTCTTGTACTTATACATTTGACTTGACAGCACGATTAAAGGATAATAACACCAAACTGAAGCATAACCACCATAAAAACTGACGCGTAAAAAGTGTATTCCAGGCTTGAAATGCATTGTTTTAAAATATAAAACAGGGAATATACCTCTATTAGATGACTAGAAGCAGTATCTTCTAGCATACCTAGAACCTCTCCTTTAAGTTTTTGCTTTGTAGCATCAGTGAACTTGTTCTCTACAAAATTCTCCTCTTGGCAGCCAAGAAGGATCATGATCGTATGCACAAGAACCTGATCATCTACCACTAATAGCTTCAGCAGACTCTGCATATATTAAATAAAGGTGCAGAGTGAAAAACCTTCAAAATATTTAGAAGGCAATACCAAACTCATACAACAGCAATCAGCATCAGGTAACATGCCTGTAAGACCAAACTGCTATATTTTTCAGCTCTCAGAGTTGAAATCTCATCTTTGGCATTATTCAGAATTTCCTGGACAAGAAATTTAAATGTGTCCGGAAAACTATTTTGAGGATTCCTTACAACGCTGCCTCCAGGTTGACCTGGCTTAGAATTAAGCCGCTCTGCAAGGACAGATGATCGCTTTGTGACATGAAATTCTTCTAGAGCACCTAATGGGACTCCCATACACAAGCAAAGAAGACTCCGAAGAACATGAGATCCATAAATATTGCATATTATATTGACAGCATCAGCACCAACTACCTGACAGAGAAAATAGATGTATGGTTCACTGGGATAAAAATAAATAAAAAATAAAATAAAATTTGAGGATGTAGAACATAGCCCAAGCTTCAAAAATATTAAGACCTGGCATATCTTATGCAATGTCTCTTCAACCATAGAATAAGATTGGTCCTCTTGAAGATGCATGGCCAGAGACTTCAGCGCAGTTTCAGCAACATGAGATCCAAATTTATCAACAGCCATAGTAGGGAAGTCCTCTGCACTGCTTCTAAGAAAAGAACAGAGCTTCTCCAAATCACATCCTTCAAGAAGACATTGCAAGGTTCGACTTATAATCATGTCGGAAGCAAGTTGAACTTCTTTCCCCCTAGTTTCTTCCAAGGCATTGCCACATACAGTAGGGCGTACATCCAAGTCAAGCCCATTGCTCTCAAACAAATTCGAAATTTCTAAGAAATACTTCGCCGTTTCTGGATCAACCCTTTTCCTGCAGCGTGTAGATTAATTTAGAATACATTAATAGATATATACGATGCATGTAAGAATTCTAAGTAGAGATGCATATAACTATGGCATTGTGTGTGGACGATAGGAACCAAACCTGAGTGGAGTTGCATGCCCCTTGGAAGGACTGTTGACCGCTGAGGGTATTTGTGATCTCGTTCTTTCATGCAACTTGATAGAGAAGTCATCACTAGCCACCCTAAGATGTTTTCCTGGCTTCTTATGTTTAAACTTTCTGCTACTTATTTGTTCAGATGTGCCATTCTCAAAATGATTGCAATGTGCCTTGCCATGATTTCTTTTCTTGTTCATTTTACTCTCACTCTTCTTGGATGACTTCTCTTCCTTGCTCATCCTGGCCTGGATATTATACTCTTTCACTTAAAGAAATGGAAAGCAATTAAAGCAAGCACCACCCTTACAGATCCATAATTTACTGCAATTTATTTGATCAAACAAGCATTCATGTATACAAGCTTTTCTTTGCATGAATCCTTTTATGCAATAGCTTGATCTCGATGAGAGCTGTTGACCTGAATTTGCATTTCATGATCATTATAATAGCATAGCATTTGAAATCATGGGCGTAGCACTATTACGAGATTTAAAATAAAAAATGTAACAATAACGTTATATTTGAAATATTGACAAAATTGTAAAATGAATTGAATTTATGATCATAAAAATTACATGAATTTAGAATCAAAGATATAGTGATAACATTGTATGGAAGTTAGACATAACAATGGCATATCATATTGCAAACACAAACATGGCAATGTATAACATCTAGAAATAAGGATACAAATTGTAAAATGAGTTGAAATGCATATTCATAGTTAGATAACATTTGAAAATCATAGACATTAGCTAAAAGATAACCATAGAATTTTATGAAAACTCTGAATGTATGGCATTGCAAAAGCTACTCATGGCAATATAAGGGATAATCGTAGCATACCTCGGAGCAGTGCAAAATTTTATTTTAAGATCCAACCATAACTGAGGATTGAACCCAACTTCGTAGGTTTTCCTATTGAAGCAACTCACCACTAGGCCAGGACTTCTATTTCAAAATTATATGGATAATAATTTTATTAACAAATATTATGTATGTCTCGGCAATAGCATTTAACAATTAATCAGTCCTAGGTAAATTTTGTGTAGATCTTTTATATAAACAGTTAAAAAAGGATAACTATATAATTATGCACTATATGAGCATTATAATAATATAATATGAAACAGGATAAATTGATCAATAAAATCAAATTTGTTAAAAAAAATAATTATTTCTAAAATATTTATGTTGCATGATCATAACTTTAAAACGAAATAATATATATCCAATGTTTGACTCTACTCCTCATTTAAATTACTTAACTAAAAATCTGATAATGTGACATTAATGATATGCAACTTAATAAGCTTAATTTTAATCATAATTAGAATGATATCATAGTAATCATACTAGCACCAGGACATATAATCCATTTCATCAATACTTTAAAATAAAAACTTAAAAAATAATAATTAAAATATGAAATATAAATTATCGAAACCATCAAAACTATCAAAATTAAACCTTTCATGAGATTATTGAATCTAAAGCCGAAACCGACTTTTAAAACCTTGGTCAATATGCAATCCTAATCAAATCAACATTAAACCGTGTAAGGGGTTTGTCAAAAAAGCTAATAACGCAATTAATTTGATAACAACAACCAATGCACAATTGATACTAACATTACTAAAGTCTTTATGTCATGTTTGAGGCAATCAATTCAACTAGATACCAGTCAATCCGGGCAAATAAAGTTATAAGTCATCTCATGTTCATCAACGAAGTAATAATAACTTCCACAAACTTGTACAACTACAACAACAACATCAAGCCTTTATACCACTACGTGGGGTGTGGTCGGCTACATGAATCTTTTTTTCTCCATTGTGTCGTGTTAAGAGTCAATTTCTCATTTAAATCTAATAAACAAATGTCATTTTTAATATTTTCTAATCAAATTTTTTCAAGTCTACCTCTACCTTTTTGAACATAAGTCAAATCTAATACATCTATTTCCCTAATTGGGTCAATGGAAGGCCTCCGTTTTATGTGACCAAACCATCTAAGGTGACTCTCTCTAATCTTATCTTCCACTAGAGCTACTCCAACCTTTTCACATATATGCTCATTTTGTATCATGTCTCTTAGAGTACAGTCACTCATCCACCTAAGCATCCTCATCTCTGCAATACTTAACTTAATATTATGCTTCGCTTTTAATGATCAACATTCTGCACCATAAAGCATTGCAGGTCTCACAGCTATCTTATAGAATTTTCTCTTAAGTTTGATGATGACTTCTCTATCACACAACAAGCCTAATGCATTCTTCCACTTCAACCATCCAACTTGAATTATGCTAATAATATCATCATCTCATTCACCATCGCTCTAAACAATAGACCCAAATTTAAAACATCTACTTTTGTTAATGACTTGATCGTCCAAAGTCACAATCCCCCACTAGATTTATTACTACTATAATTACACTATATAATCAATTTTAGATCTACTCAAATGAAAACCTTTAGACTCTAAGGTTGACCTCCATAATTCAAGTTTACTTTCAACTCCCTCACTAGTCTTATCAAAATTAAGATAGCTCATGCCTAGGAAATCTCTTCCAATACTAACTATCAAGAATCTAACATACTAAATGATAATAGCATATATGTTAATTAAATATTCAGTAGTCAATGTTTCTCGGAGATATGTAAACAATATAAAAACTATGTATAAACAAATGGGTCACCAGCAAGATACGGATATAATTGCTGACGATAGCAATGCAATATGAATTTGAGCCAATTTTACCAAACATGTCCTGTCAAAACTGCAGTTGCAACATAAATCATTTATACAAAGGTTACCCCAAATAGTTCCAAGGCAATCTTGCTCGCCTAGTGCAACCTTGATTCTCCTAGAAACAAAAAAAAAATTTATTAAATATTATTTAAAAAAAAACAAGGTTAAAAATACTATTTATTGCAAGCAATGGCGGAGCCAAAAATTTTATTAAGGGAAAGGGGGTGCCTAAATTAAAATAATTATGTCTAACGTCTCATTTGGAATGTTAGAATATATTAAAATAGTTTTGGTTGTCATCTTATACACGGAGCTAAGAGGGGCTGTAAAATCAAAATTAAGAATGCAAATAACATGGCCCTTAGAGCTTAGAAGACATAAACATCTGTTACGGGAGGTCTTCATTTGGGGGCGAGAGATAAGCGAAAGGGAATATGAAATCCATGCTCAAGGTCATGAGTTGAGAGAGAGGAGCAAAAGGAAAAAAGAACAATTGATGCTTTTCATGTGTTCAGAAAAAGATGTTGGTGGCTTCTCTGGATTAATAAATAACTTTATAAAAATTAGAGCTGGTTTCCTCGTTGGCGAACTTGTTGCTCTGTTAAGCCACTAAAACAATCAGCTTTAAACCCCTTTAGGCTTTCAGTTTTAGCTTTAGCCAAATCCTTTAAAGGAGAACTTTGCGTCAAAATCTCTTTTCATCATTCCATCCACAATGGAAAGTCATTCCTCCCTCTCTCTTTCAATATTTTACCCCATTAGTCTTTCTCTATCTACAGTTGAAATATTGCATGGTCCGGGTAGAAGGTTGATTGAAGACTTGAAATTGTAAAATCCTGTAATAAATAAAATGAAAGCTGGCAAGGGATTGTACCATAATGTATGCTTGAGCATGGAAGTGGAGAGAGGAGCTGAATGGATGGGAAAAAGTTCAATATGTGGGCTTATGTCATCCATTGTTCATTAATTTGGTGATAAGGTGTCTATCCTCCTTCTAAGTAGTGATTTTTTTT